CACAATACACTAAGAATAAGAAATTAAAAGCCTAAAGTATCAAAAAGGAGGAAATAAAGCTATAATTATTTTTATATAGTATGATTAACCACATAGAAAATCCAAAAGAATCTACAAGCAAATTTTTCAAATAATAAGAGAATTCAGCAAGTTGCCCCATTCTTCCAGATCTAAGAGGGTTGATGAGATTTGTTGTTTTAGTCACTTTTATGTGGAAAAGAAAAGAAAAAGAAGAACAATGGATGGTATAGCCCCTTCTCAGTGACTGGAATGTGAGACAAATGTGGACTATGATAATCGGGGATTTTCCTAAAGAAATGCAAGACACATGTCCTTTTTCTACTGGAGACACTGGTCCCATCCCTGTGCAGTTGGGATCAGATTCCTTGACACCACTTGTAATGAATACAACAGTTCAGATTTGCCTTTACAGTCATTATGGGATAGCAGACTTCGAGACCTCAGGTCAGGTGATGACAACTTGGTAAGCAGACACTCCTGAGAGGATGGGAGAGTGCTTTAAGCTTATTAAATTGTTCAGCTTTAGAGCAGCAAGGGTTTGTTTTTTGCTTCCCCTCCCCACCTTAAAATTTTCAGCCCCAGTTCCCTCAAGACTAATTGAAAGTTCTATAAGAGCATAAGTTACATAGTTCAGGTCTTCTAGTTCCATATAAAAGAAACAAGGCAATAAAATTCCTTCTGGAAGGAAATTCATTAACAATGGCATCTTCTGCTGTACAACAGGTATGTGGAAAGGGGATTAAGGATGGACCTGGGTTTTCTCTTTCTTGAGGTTTTGTTAAGAAGTAAATTGTCACTCTAATTGTGTTATAGCATTACTCATGACTTGATTCTTCTGTTTTGCATTTTTGTCATGTGCAAAGAGTATGTATAGGAATGTGAAAGATGGTGGGTGCAGGATTTAATATGAATTTGTAATAAAAGGCTGAGTCAGTCTATTATGTGAATAGGATAATGTGTTGCCTTTTGGAAGTGCAGCAAGTTTCTTGGAAAGAAGATATGGAATCCTAGAAAGGGTTACCTCTTCACAAGTGGCTGAGTAAATTATCACTGGTGTTCACCTAAGTGTAGAGAGAGTTAAGACAAAGCTAGGATTTTACACATAATCCCATTCCTTTACTTTCTTAGGAACAGTATTTTCTAGTCAAATGTATTCTTGAGTGGTGTTCATCCCAACAAGGAAGAAAGATGAGAAGAAAATCACATTGATAGTGTTCTTTGCATATCAGGCATTGTGCTAAGGCTGTTCATATGTGTGATTTAATATGTTATGATTCATTAACATGGAATATTTGAGAGAAATTGAAAAACTGAAGGAAACTAAAAGCTTGGGTAAGGGCAGAATAATTCCAGAAAGGTATAAAGAATGATTAGCAGGAAGAAGAACTTTGTATTCTGTTGAAAGTTTAAAAAATGATTGCTAAAGCAAAGGGATTTTTACTATTTACTGTATTTACCAAATTTAATAAGGTACAGACAAATAAGATTGAGGGTGCTTGGGTGGCTCAGTCAGTTAAGCATCTGCCTTTGGCTCAGGTCATGATCATAGGGTCCTGAGATTGAATCCTGCATAGGGTTCCCTGCTCCTCAGGGAGTCCACTTTCCCTCTGCCTCTCTCTCTGGGTCTCTCATGAATAAATAAACAAAATCTTTAAAAAGAAAAAGAGAGAAATGAAATTGCATTAGAAAAATCAGAAAATTCCTTATTATTGTGGTCATGGCCCTGTAATTTAATCACTTTCCTGGGGAATGTAGAAAATATTTTTATTTTTAACAATTTAGTAGAATACAGTTTAGATATGGTATTTATTTATTATTCATTAATGGGCAAGCAATTCTTTATGTTCTGAATCATTAAATTTTGTGCTTCTTATAGATACAGCAATAATGAAGAAAAGACCAGACTTTAATTCTCTTGACATCCATGTATCTATATGTGCTTATATTAGTAGATTAAAAAAAAAATTTTTAGGGTCACTAGAAGAATATGGCTTTGAAAGTACTGTTTTATGTCTTAGCATTACAGATAATCACTGTGGAAGATGTGAAAGATATGGCCATCGAAAGGTTTAAATTGATGATGGATGTCACATTACCCAAGAGAGGACAATGATGCTTACAGGGAGGTTACTTAAAAGTCTTGTTTGGTGAAGTCACCAAATAGTCATCTCCTGTGTCCCTTCCTGCTCTATGGCAGGGGTTCGAGGCAGACATATTCTAATGTATGCATCATGCTGTGTGTTTCAAAGAACTTTATTATAGTTCTTAGAGTTGATTGGCTAATTAAGTTTGCTACATGGAAGGGAGGTCAGTTCTGTGCTCTATGATTTGAAGCTTAGAAGGATTGAGTATGACTTTCCAAACATGGATTGTAGGATGATTATTATATCAAAGTCACTAAGTCAGGATCACAAAGAAGTTTGCAATTAAATCCACATATAATTTAAAGGGTCAACTGTACTGCATTTTCTAATTTGTAAAGACATATAAGTTCCTATGTTCATTGAAACATTATTTACAATAGCTAAGAGGTGAAAGCAACCTAAATGTCCATCGATAGATGAATAGATAAAGAAGATGTGGTATATATATATCTATACTGAAATATTATTCATCCATAAAAAAGAGTGAATCTTGCCATTTGCAACAAAATGGCTAGACCCTGAGGGTATTATGCTAAGTGAAATGAGTCAGACAGAGCAAGACAAGTACCATATGGTTTCATTTATATGTGGAATGTAAAAAACAAAACAAATGAATATAAACCCAAAACAAGACAGAACATATGAACAAAACAGAAATAGACTCATAGATGCAGAGAATAACCTGATGGTTACCAGAAGGCAGAAGGGTGGGGATGGACAAAATAGGTGAATAGAATTAAGAAGTACCATCTTCCTGTCAAAAAATAAGTAAGACTTGAGTATATAATAATGGACAGCATAGGAAATATAGTCAACAATATTGTAACAACTTTGCTTGGTGACAGATGATAACTAGACTTATTGTAGTGACCATTATGTAATGCATATAAATATCAAATCACTATGCTGAACACCTGAAATGAATACAATCTTGAACACCAATTATTGAACAAAAAGAAGAATCAGTTGGAAAAAGCTTTTAATTTCAAGTCTGCACTCATTCTCCTGCAGCTATCCTAAATGCTTTATTTATTTTTCTCTCTTTTAAATCACTACTTAAATTTGAGAACAAAATGGGAAAGTTCCTTGGTTACATGATGGCTAAGACCACTGGCTTGAGGGGCAACAGTGAAACTACAAACCCACCCTCCTCCCACTCTATCCTCTCCTCAACCCCCTATTTTCTCTGTGTTGTTTCAGAGACCCTTAGAATGAAGGTCTCTGAACAACCTCATGTCTCTTTTTCACGTTTCCTTCTGCTTGGAACAGGCTTTCTCTCTTCTGTTTTAAATCCCACTCACCTATTGAGAACCAGATGGAAAGTCTCACCATCACTGGATCATTATTGTCTACCCCAGCCTGAAATTCTCATGTCCACTTTTTATCTTTGCACATTTTGCCTCAACCCCTCTTAGGTCAGTTAATCTCAATAGTTGCTTTTTTAAAAATCTATAGTGCAGAATCATTTATGTTTTAAGTGTTGATGTATTTTGCTCATCACCTGTTTTGTAGACTCTCTGAAGCCAGGGACTAGTGATCTAATGCTTTCCTATTCTTTCATTGTGTCTTGTGTGTTGTGGGCACTCAATAAACAGGTATTGATCAGTGTGTGATGGTGCTCACAGGGGCTGAGAATCTACTGGTTTGTCTGTTAATAAGTAGTCATGTCTGGTATTTATGAAGTCCTTGATAACCAAAGACTCTACAGTATTAATAGCTAATCCTTTGTATTAGATAGTGTTTTTTTCCCTCAATGTACTTTAAGAAAGTAAAGTCATCCTAATTATTGAACACGTTTCCTTTCAAATATACATGTAAAATTGCATCATGCAGATTTTTATATGCAGAATGAAGATACTAGACCAACACAAAAAAGGAGTGGAGATGGCTTGTTGTCCTAATGTTCAATTATCATCTGCTCCTAGCTCTCTCTGTGACCCACACACTGAAACACCGGGCTTTTATTTTTGCCTGCTATGCATTGCCCAAGGCTCTGAGGAGAAGCACCATGGAGGAGTGCTTTCTCTTCATAAAGAACTGAAGGTGGTCCAACTTTGGTCTCTGTCCATATCTGATTGAGCTTCTCTGGCTGGTGAGATGCTTGCCAAGTCTCCATGACTGGCTGAAGATGTTCTACTAGATTATTAGATATCTTTAAATGACTCTTTCCCTTCTAAGCAACCTTGGCATGAACAAAATCAAAACACCATGAAAATAACACAACACGAATAAAACAATTTTCAAATGATAATAAACTCCTGGTCACACAAGGCAGTAGACCTGAATCAAATAAAATCTAATCATTTGTTCAATACTTATTTGAGGAAGAAGTGAATGTATTGTCTGATACATATCTAATCTTTCTATGAACATAAAGAACATCGGTTATAATGAATTAGATAATGAACTTGTTGCTTCTTCTCTTCCCCTTCATCGCCTTCCAGTCTTCTCTTTCTTTTCCTCTTCTTTTTCTTTTTTTTTTAAATTTCTGGCCCTGGCATAAAATAAGAGCTTACTAAATGTTGGTGGTATAATTTGTATCTGGGAACATATAAAGTAAATAATGATCATTTAAGCTCAGATTAAAAATTCTATGAAGTTCCAAATAAAGGTTAGGATAAATAAATGAGAAAGATCATAACTAATACTTCAGCATAAATTATCTTCCTTGAGTCTTCGATATTTTTCTTGAGTTGTTCTATGACAACTTACCTAAATTATAGAATGTTTTATGTATTGCTGACAAAATTTCATGTGTTCTTGATTTTTCTGAAGGAAATATTGGATTGCTCTGGATATGGAAATGGATCTTGCCCAGAAAATCAAAGATCACTGGGTGTCCAAGCAGCTATGTATTCATTTATGGCAGGAGCCATATTCATCACGGTATTTGGCAACCTTGCTATGATCATTTCCATTTCCTACTTCAAGCAGCTTCACACACCAACCAACTTCCTCATCCTCTCCATGGCAGTCACTGATTTCCTCCTGGGGCTCACCATCATGCCTTATAGTATGGTCAGATCAGTGGAGACTTGCTGGTATTTTGGGCTTACATTTTGCAAGATTCATTATAGTTTTGACCTAATGCTTAGCATAACGTCCATTTTCCATCTTTGCTCAGTGGCCATTGATAGATTTTATGCTATCTGTTACCCTTTACGTTATTCCACAAAAATAACGATTCCCCTCATAAAGCGGTTGCTACTTCTCTGTTGGTCTGTCCCTGGAGCATTTGCTTTCGGGGTGGTCTTCTCTGAGGCCTATGCTGATGGGATAGAAGGCTATGACATCTTGGTGGCTTGTTCCAGTTCCTGTCCAGTGATGTTCAATAAGCTATGGGGGACCACCTTGTTTATGGCGGGTTTCTTCACTCCAGGATCTGTGATGGTGGGGATTTATGGCAAGATTTTTACAGTGTCGAGAAAACATGCTCGTGCAATCAATAATTTGCCAGAAAATCAAAATAACCAAATGAGGAAAGACAAAAAAGCTGCCAAAACTTTAGGAATAGTGATGGGTGTTTTCTTATTATGTTGGTTTCCCTGCTTCTTCACTATTTTATTGGATCCCTTTTTGGACTTCTCTACTCCTGTGGTTTTGTTTGATGCTTTGACATGGTTTGGCTATTTTAACTCCATGTGTAATCCCTTAATATATGGTTTCTTCTATCCCTGGTTTCGCAGATCACTGAAGTACATTTTACTAGGGAAAATTTGCAGCTCGCATTTCCATAATGCTAATTTGTTTACTCAAAAAGAAACTGAATAGACTTCTTCTGTAGGAGTGAATTGAAGCAAAAGGACTGGAACTTAGAAGAATAAAGTCACTTAAAATGTGTGTGTGTGTGTGTGTGTGTGTGTGTGTGTGTGTGTGTATGCATGGCCATGTGCACAAATGTGGGCACACTTTTGGCTATCATGGCAAGCTTTCATTTGGAGGAGGGGGAGGAGGAGGAGGAGGAGGAGGAGGAGGAGGGAAAGAAAGAAAGAAAGAGAGAAAGAAAGAAACAAACAGAGGAGAAGAGGAAAAGTCAGGAATGGTGTGAGGAGAACACACAGGACTTTTACCCCATTTGGAAGGGATCCGGGCACAAACAGACCTTGAGGGTGCTGCTCCCTCTTACCACCACCAATATTTTGTGTGGTATTTCCATTCACTTTTTGTTCCTCAGCATCCGAACAGATGTATTTTGAAACATTAACAACTAATAATTATAGATAAATAAATATGGCAATAATTTCAAAAATACATATTCTGTCAGGAACCAGTCATTGGTTAGCAGGAAGTTACACTTTACTAGATTTTACTGTGGTGAGGCTAAACGTTTCTTAAAAGAAAAGGGCAACTGCATATCAGAGGCAACAGATTTCATTCATATTTTCACTCATGTATCACCTTAATCACAGCCACTGACAAGTTTCTGTTTATTTGCAGGAGAACTCTGCTCAGTGCTTCCTTCCGGAGACTCATTCACATTTTGTATTGTTAATTGGTGTTCTTATTTCTTTTTCTTTTAAGAGAGACAGTGTGTGCACAAGTGGGGGTAAGAGCAGAGGGAAAGTGAGAGAATCTTAGGCAGACCCCATGCCCCGTGTGGAACTTTACTGGTAGCTGGATTTCACTGCCCTGAGATTATGACGTGAGCTGAAACCAAGAGTCAGCCACTAAATGGACTGAACCACCCAGGCATCCCTATGTTCTGATTTTTAATAAATGTAAATATATACCAAAACTTGTGATTTTTTTGTTTGTTTAATATATTTATACATACATGTTTAAATCATAGAGTGGTGAGAGGAGGAAGCTAAGAAAACCAGTATTTACGGGGGGTGGGGAGGATTTAGTACTGGAAACCATATATTTGTTATTCAGTGTCCTTTTAACTGTAAGCTGAGACCCATAAATAACTCCTGAATTGAAGCTAGTAATCTGCAAACTGTGGTGTGCTGCTAAGTATTTAACACCTGGCTCTGAAAAGAATGGAAGGAAGGAAGGAAGGAGGAAGGAAAGAAAAGAAAGAATGAAAGAGCCACTATTTGTAGAATTTGACTATTTCCTTGAGATAAATAGATATATATATATAGATATAGATTGCCCTTTATGGTATTCCCATGAAAATGATTCTAGCTTATATGTATGCATATATATGTATATATACATATATATACATATATATACATATCTTCATTTGCTGATTTATAAGCTATGAATGTGATGTCACCTGGCTCTCAGAATTCCTGAAAAATCAATCTCTTCTTGTCAGTGGATTTGAGTGGTGCCACCAAACTACTAACTGCAAACATTTTTCATGAAAAACAAAATATAACAGGAGAAGATAGATAATACATCACTTGTATTAAGGATAAATATTGCCTTTTAATGCTTTAATTTTAGTTGTGTGTGTGTGTGTGTGAACTGCATTCTGCTAAAATTTTTTTGGTTAATTTCTTTATTTACATTATAGTAATGAAAAAATTAGCAATTTTTTCTCTTTGTGGAAAAGTTTACATAACTGCCCATAAATTTGCTTTGATCTTAGCTAATTGCACAAATCACAATTAAACAGTGACCATTCAGTGGTCAGCTGAAATATTAATTTTGCATACCTGCCCAAAGATGGCCCAGCCACATGTGGTCTAGACCTTTTTTCCTTGCCAGACTGCTGATAGGATGGTCCCTCCCTATTGCCTTAGAGTAGAGGAGAGATGGTGGAGATGCTTTGAGATGGTGAAAGAGATTGCAAGTACAAAATAAATAGAAACAATAATTTTCCAAGAAGAGAGTAAATAAATCCAGGTGCAGTTAGGAGAGCTAATATGGTGTGTTGGATGCTATTGAGTCTATTTGGTAATTCTTTTTAATGAAATACTGATGTTTGTGCTGTTTTGTTATTCGAACACATACATATGCACACAGATGTTCTTGTCTTTATTTATTTTATTTTATTTTTGCCTTTATTTTAAAAAATGAGTAAAGTAGATTTTAGTTTAACTGTAAGGTAGAAAAATTTTGATTTAATATTTATTAAATTTTCTCCCAATTCTTTAAAATATGACTTTAGAAAATCAAAGTAAATATCTTGGTGTAAGTTTGTCTGTTGACATTTGTTGGAAAGCCTGAGACATTCCTTTCTTTCTTTCTTTTTTTCTTTTTCTTTTTCTTTTTTAACAGAAAGATACTGTTTGTGATGGTTGTTACTATTTATGCTGATGCTTACAGATGCAATAAAAATTTGACAGCCCTGTGTGCACTGTAAAGTTTCTTATAATGCTTCTTTCTTTTTCTCCTAGATCCTATTCATGTTTAAAAACATTAAATAGCCCCTTTGTAAAGTTCTGCTCATTAAGTCCCCTTTCACTAAAACAGATAATTTTTTCTGTAGGTTTTCATGACACTTTTTGGTTTCAGAATGTAGCCATCCTGACTTATTTCCTGATGAAGAAAGTGATCCAGCTTCCTATGCAGTGTCTGCCTTTCATCAGCATCCCATAGTTAATAAAGTATTCTCCCTCCGCACCCACAATTTTGTAGGAAGTTGCAAATGAGAAAACAGAACCCAGAGATATTAAATGATTTGCCCTAGAATATATAGCTAATTATAAAAGCAGAAATAGAACCTGGTTCTCTAGACTTCTTATTCAGCGTTCTTTGTTTACTGAACAGATTTTTTCAAGATTTTTGACATTTTATTTATTTATTTATGTAAGATTATATTTATTTATTTGACAGAGAGAGACAGAGAGCACAAGTAGGCAGAGCAGCAGGCAGAGAGAGAGGGAGAAGCAGACTCCCTGCTGAGCAAGGAGCCAGATGGGGGATTCGATCCCAGGACCCTGGGATCATGACTTGAGCCAAAGGCAACTACTTAACTGACTGAGCTACCCAGGCACCTTGGTTTGTGACACTTTAATTGACTGTTCTTAGTAAGTATTTTAGTCAAACTAGTATAAATCTCTAAGGTAAAAGTAAATACTTCTCTCTTACTCTAATATCTCATTACATTCAGGAGTCAAAGTGTAAACAGTCATCTTTTCTAGATCAGACAATTGTCCTTCCTTTGGATAGCAGCCAATGTTTAATTTAGCCTACACATATCTGTATATTCTTTTTTTTTTAAGATTTTATTTATTTATTGGACACACAGAGATCACAAGTAGGCAGAGAAGCAGGCAGAGAGAGAGAGAGGAGGAAGCAGGCTCCCTGCTGAGCAGAGAGCCCGATGCAGGGCTGGATCCCAGGACCCTGGGATCATGACCCGAGCAGAAGGCAGAGGCTTTAACCCACTGAGCCACCCAGGATCCCTTGTATATTCTTAATATAGAGAAAGATACCTTATCTTTGGTAACTTCTCTTCCCAGAATAAAGCCCAAATCCCCATAAAATGGATATAAAATTGTCTTTCATTTGGAAAAAAAAAAAGAAAGAAAGGAACTGAAAACTACTTGGGACATTAAAAACACACAGAATAGGAGACAAAGATGGTGGGGAGTAAGGGACCCTATTTCATCCAGTCCCCTGAATTGAGCTGGATATCTACCAGGCCAGTCTGCACAACCATGAAATCAGCCTGAGATGAAAGAAGGTATGTCCGGATCTCTACAAACAGAATATCCCCAGTGGTTAGTTTTGAGGTATGAAGCAGAGAGCCATGATTCTGCAGGCAGATATTGGAAGATAAATGGAGGGAGGAGGGAGTCTCTGGGATCTTTGGCCACTGGCGTGTAAAAGTCTCCTGCGCTGAACTGGGCACCCACTCGCAGACTGGTAGTGGTGGGGGAAGGACTTTAGGGAACCCCTCCAGACTGAAACCTGGAGCTGTGGGACTGTGGAGCTGTGGAGCCAGCAAGAACTGGGAGTGCAGCTGTGGGGCACACAACCCAGGATGCTGCTGTTTCTGGCAGCACAGACAAAATCGGAGTCAATGTGCCCTGGAGGGCTCTCTGGAAATCAGACTGCAATCTCTCTGTTCTGAGACAGGTTTGGATATGGTCACTTCTGCTCTGACTCTTAGAAGAGAAGCAGAAGTCGTCAGGGAAAGCACTCAAAGAACAAAAGCCCCCCAAAAACTATTTTTACAAAGCCCATCCCCACTATAGGGGGCAGGGCAACTCTGCTCAAATAGGGTTGACTGAGTAACAGCAGGACAGACCCCTCCCCCAGAAGACAGACTGGAAGAACAAGAGGCCAAAAACTCAAAGGTCCCTATAAAAAAAGTGAATCTTGTTTCAGTTGTGGTCAATAATCTGGACTCTGTATATTCCCTCAACCACCCCTCAACAGAATGACTAAGAGGAGGAACCCCAAATACAGGAAAAATTCACAGACTATGATCTCCGCCACAGAACTAATAGATAAAGATAAAGATAAACAAGATGTTGAAAATAGACCTCAGGGTAACAGTTATGCAGAAAATAGCTAGGATGGAGAAAACCATTAATGGTAACATAGATTTTCTAAGGGCAGAAATGAGACCTGATGGGGCAGAACTTAAAAATGCTATCAATGGGAGAGGAGTCAAGATGGCGGAGAAGTAGCAGGCTGAGACTACTTCAGGTATCGGGAGATCAGCTAGAAGCTTATCTAAAGATTGCAAACACCTACCAATCCAACGAGAGATCGAAGAGAAGAAGAACAGCAATTCTGGAAACAGAAAATCAACCACTTTCTGAAAGGTAGGACTGGCAGAGAAGTGAATCCAAAGCGATGGGAAGATTGACCTCAGCGGAGCAACGGAGCACAAAATCAGGACTTTTAAAAGTCTGTTCCACTGAGGGACATCGCTCCAGAGGCTTACCGGGGTGAAGCCCA